AATTAATTCAACAGTTTGTCAGGCCTGTAGTTATGTTCCTTTTAGTATCTTTGGCCTGCCACATTTTCTATTATTTCACTATGCTGTTTCATTAGTGTAGTAATTGGGAGGTGGGAATAGAAAGGAGTAGAACTGTGGAATGTGCTGTTGTCATTCTTTCCTAGAAGCTAAGGTCATCTTTTGTCTCCACATCTCTGCACCTGACCGGAACCAGCTGGGTGGAGATGCCAGCATGGCCGAAGAAGATTGGACCATGTGATGGATTTATGGGTGTGGGGATATGATCATGAATTTTCAACTGGGTGGTTGGGAAGGAAGTTTTCAGAATTGGGATTTCCAAAGATATGCCAACATGTCTGTCTTGTTAAATTGGAACTTTAAGGATAGCTCTGCCTTGGACTCTGATTTAATTCTGCATGATATTTGGAACGCTGACACAGTCTTCTTTCTTTTTCTTAACCTTGTTTGTTCCCAGTTTCATCTCTCCAGGTTTTCTTCTCAGCCTTTTCCTGTCCTCTTAACCCAGCATCAAGTCTTCCCTCCCTGTCTCCTGTTCCACAGTCCACGATGCAATCTTATTTTTCTTTCCTTGTCCCATAACACACTATTCAGATCATCTGTGTTATTAAAGTAATAGCTGTTCAGGTGGACTGGAGTGAAGCTCCATATTTTGCTGAAAGTTTTTGGCCTGCTATTCCTATTCTTTCAGCTAAGACTTAATGTTGAAATAATGTTCAGTGATTGCGTTCACCTCACATGCTCAATTAAGTCAGGAGAGATCTAGCAGAAAGTAAAATGAAGAAGGTCAGCTAGAGCAATACGGTCAACCTAGTTAGTATGACCTTTGTTCATTTTTGTTTTAACTTAATGCATTTCGCAAACGCAGAAAACAGATTAATTCAATAAGCAGGTTAATTAAGAGGCAGGACTCAGCCATTGGGTAAATTCAGGCCAGAACTTGTCTGCCTATGTTGTGCTTCTGTACTACTTTCTCTTAAAATAACGGCAAGAGAGACACTATTGAAAAAGCAGATTAGAGATTGATCATTGTGGAGAAATCCCTATAAGGCAGGAGTCCACAGCCCGCTGCTGGGCACATCAACTGTTAGGACCCGGGTTGTGCTAATGGACACATGTGCAAAGTTGTGTTTGCACAAGTGGGCGTGCAAAAAGATCCCCTCTCCCCTCCCTGCTGCCACCGCCATCACCACAAGTCTGCAGAGCCAGAAAACTACAAAGGTAAAGATAAAGGTTCCCCTCGAACATATGTGATAGTTGTCCTTGACTCTAGGGGGTGGTGCTCATCTCTTGTTTCAAAGCCAAAGAACCAGTGCTGTCCAAAGACATCTCCATGGTCATGTGGCTGGCATGACTAAATGCCGAAGGCACATGGAACACTGTTACCTTCCCACGAAAGATGGTTCCTATTTTTCAACTTTCATTTTTATATGCTTTTGAGCTGCTAGGTTGGCAGAAGCTGGGACAAGTAACGGGAGCTCACCCTGTTACACGGTAGTAGGGATTCGAACCCTACTACTGTGTAGGGGTGAACTGCCACCCCTTTCTGATTGACAAGCTCAGCGTCTTAGCCGCTGAGCCACTGCGTCCCCTCCAGAAAACTATATGAGATCACTAACAGTCAACACTAAGTTGATGACAAATAATAGTCAATCATTAGAATCAGAATAGAGCTGGAAGGGACCTTGGAGGTCTTTTAGTCCAGCCTCCTGCTCAAGCAGGATATCCTATAACATTTCAGACAACTGATTGCCCAGTCTATTCTTAAAGGCCTCCAGTGATGAAGCACCCACAATGTCTGAAGGCATCCAATCTGATCCAACCCATTCATACGTGGTTTCTGAAATGCATTCAGTTGCAGGGAGGAGATACTTTAAAAGAAATTTGCCAGCCTACTTACCCTTTTTTCAGGTGGGACTTGTCCCTGGCTAGTTTGTATGAGGAAGAATTCCCAGCTCTTGGTCTTTCTCAGCAACATCTGGCCCTGTAGGCAACTTCCCTGCTCTTGTTTTTAACACACTTTAGTTTGTTTGGCTTCAGAGGCCTGACGAGATCACCGCTTGAAGGCTTTTAATTTTCTTAGCTGTCATACAATGTGGCACTTCAGGTCAGTTCAAGCGCTCTTAATCTAATATCTGCTGCAATGAAACTGTGAGCATATCAGTCAATATGAAGTAAAGTCTATGGCACATAATGGGGGTGGACTTCAAAATTTTTAGCAAGGGGTTCTCTCCCCAGTTTCTGNGTGTGTGTGTGTGTGTGTAGGGGGGGGGGGATTATGGCCTGTTAGTAAATAATTCACACCACATTTCTTCCTGACAAGCTTCCCAACAGAAGTACAGTTTCCCAGATTTCTATAGAATATAAAAGAGCATAAGTGCCCAGCCTGCATCCCATACTTACAAAGATAATTGTATTGTGCAAAAGAGAAGATTCCAGCCTAATAATCATACTGACATTAAATCAGAACAATGAATAGGTAGTCCTCGATTTACAACCATTTGTTTCGTTTAAAGTTACAGTGGCACTGAAAAGTGACTTATGACTGTTGTTCACACTTACGACCATTTCTAGCATCCCCATGATCAAAATTCAGAGGCTTGGCAACTGACTCATTCTTATGACAGTTACAGTATCACGCAATCCCCTTTTGCGACCTTCCAACAAGCAAAGTGAATGGAGAAGGCAGATTCACTTCACAACCATGTTGCTAATTTAACAGCTTCAGTGACTCACTTAACAACTATGGCAAGAAAGGTTGTAAAATGGGGCAGAAGTCACTTAGCAAACGCCTTTGCTCAGCAACAGAAATTTCAGGGACAATTGTGGTTGTAAGTCAATGTTTGCTTGGAAAGGCAAGGTTTAAGCATGTTAATACAAGATTTTTAAGCATGTTAAGCCTTAACATTTAAGCATGTTAATACAAGAAAGCAGGAGAGAGAGAAAAAAACTGGTATCTTGGCCTATTTTTCCTGGCATCTCATTATTGGCTAATGAATCAGCCATGATAAGAGAATTTTATGAAGGGAACCAGTTTCGATTAAGTCAGCAGAATTGCTCAGGACCTTCTGCAGGGCTCCAGCTAAGTACACATTGCCACAGGGGCCGGATGCTTTAAACACTGTGGGAGCTGCGGAGAAAAGGGTGGGAAAGTGATATTAATCTAGCTGTGAATTTTGAAAATCTCTAATAAGACCCACCTGGCAAACAAACCTTGGCTATACGGCACTATATTTCCAGGAAAGAATCTGTGGGTCCTACCCAGTGAACCAAAACCCAAAGCATATTTGTCTTTTCCCACTTGTGACATGCTTGCTGGTTTAGAACCTTGGTCAATCTTGTAGTGCAGAGTTTTATCAACCTCAGCAGCTTTAAGATGCATGGACTTCAACTCCCAGAATTCCACAGCCAGCACAGGAAAGAAGCAACCTAGAACTTGGATGAGAACAATCAACCAGGGGATCGTGTTGCCTTCAGAAGTTGTGGTGCTTCGTCACTGGAAGCTTTCAAAAAAAGATCGGACAATCATATGTCTGAAATGGTATAGGGCCGTGATGGCGAACCATGCCAGAGGTAGCACGCTGAGCCCTCGCTGTGGGCACATGTGCTGTCACCAGCTACACTTCGGTTTCCCTCATGCGCATGTGCAAAGACCAGTGGCCGCTGTGTATGCGCGCACGGCCAAACGCTCTCTTCTAGGTTCCATCGCGCACATGCACGCTGGCCAGCTGTTCTTCTCGTATGCACACGACAGAACTGAGAATTGCAGCTAGAAATGGCACACATGCATGCACAGGAAGCCTCTTGCTTTTGGGTTCAGTCACGCACCTGTGTGCCGGCCAGCTGGTCTTCGCGCATGCATGTGACAGAAGCCGGAAGGAGAGCAGCTGGCCACGCACGCATGCATGCATGCCATCACTAGCTGCACTTCTGGGTTCTGGTGCTCTGGCACGCACACACATGCTCTTGTTTCGGCACTCAGTGCCAAAAAGGTTAGTCACCACTGGTACAGGGTCTCTTGCTTGAGCAGGGGGTTAGACTAGAAGACCTCCACGGTCCCTTCCAACTCTGTTATTCTATGTTGTTCTGTGTTTGTATTTCATCCCTTTTTTCATATCTCTTTTTTCAGATCCCAAGTCCTGACGGGGCTTTCAGCGCTTCGTTTCGATGTGCTGCTGTCAGCAAATACGGTTCTCTGTCCTTTGTCTCCATTTCCTTTTGCTGCTTCTTCTGGCGGACGGAACTACCAGAGTCTACTATCTGGGGATCCGCAGTGTGGAGTGGAACTACGCTCCATTGGGAAAGAATGCGGTCACTGGACAAAGCATTGCAAATGACTCGTGAGTCCCAGTTTCTCTATCCCTACAATCCAGCACAACCTGGGCACCTCCAATCACTTCCGAATTGTATACACAAAACTGGAGGATTTGTGCTGAAATGTGCTACTTGTATCACAACTTTTATCTAAAAAATGGGAGAATAGAATAGAGTAGAGTAGAATAGAATGATAGGATAGAATAGAATAGAATAGAATGATAGCATAGAATAGAATTGGAATGGAATGGAAAATGAAATGAAATGGAAAATGGAATGGAATAGAATAGAAAATGGAATGGAATGGAATAGAAAATAGAATAGAATAGAATAATAGAATAGAAAAGAAAAAAGAAAAGAAAATAGAATAGAATCGGACAATAGAATAGAATTCTTTATTGGCCAAGTGTGATTGGACACACAAGGAATTTGTCTGTGGTGCAGATGCTCTCAGTGGGCATAAAAAGACAAGATACATTTGTCAAGAATCATAAGGTGCAACACTTAATGATAGTCATAGGGTACAAATAAGCAACGAGGAAACAATCAATATCAATATAAATGGCCAGGATACGAGCAACGAAGTTACAGTCCTGCAGTCATAAGTGGAAGGAGATGGGTGATGGGAACCATGAGAAGATTAATAATAGTCTATTATTAATACTATTACTGTAATAGTAATGCAGCCTTAGTGAATAGTTTTGATGGTGGTGAATTTCCACACTGTAGTATTTAAAATGTACAAAATGTTTCTTGATTATCAGAAAGAAATGTCCAAAAAGTATCCTTATAGTTTCACTGAGTTTCCCATCCCTGAAACTAGCTACAAGGTCATTCATCACCTTTTCAGAGGTTAGATTCCACCATCTTCCTAGGGAAATTAATACAATTGAAACCGCTTGAAACTTTATAGGATTTCTAATCCAACTATTTATCCATCAATCCCAAAAGAAAAGCATGTGGTCTCAACTGAATATTAACCTTAAAATTCTCTGGGGCTGGACTTATATTCAAACTAAAAAGATAAAGGTAAAGGTTCCCTTCACACATATGTGCTAGTCGTTCCCGACTCTAGGGGGCGGTGCTCATCTCTGTTTCAAAGTCGAAGAGCCAGCGCTGTCCAAAGATGTCTCCATGGTCATGTGGCTGGCATGACTAAACACAGAAGGCACATGGAACGCTGTTACCTTCCCACCAAAGGTGGTCCCTATTTTTCTATTTGCATTTTTACGTGCTTTCGAACTGCTAGGTTGGCAGAAGCTGGGACAAATAACAGGAACTCATCCCGTTACGTGGCACTAGGGATTCGAACTGCCAAACTGACAACCTTCTGATCAACAAGCTCATCATTTTAGCCATTGANGAGCAGGGGGCTGGACTAGAAGACCTCCAAAGTCCCTTCCAACTCTGTCATTCTGTACATTCTGAATGGTCATTAAGCTAATGGCCATCTTCTACTGGTAGTCCTCGACTTACAACAGTTCATTTAGTGACTGTTCAAAGTCACATCATCACTGGGAAAAGTGGCGGATGATCCTTTCCCGCCTGCCGGCTGTTACAACATCCCCATCCTCACGTGACCCGAATTCAGATTCCCCTGGCCACTGACTTGTACTCATGATGGGGTCAAATGATCCCCTTTTGCGACCTCCTGACCAGCAAATTCCCTGGGGAAGCCCGATTCACTTAACGACCGTGTGGCTAACTTCACGACTGCGGTGGTTCGCTTAACAACACAAAGGCACAAAGGTCATAAAATGAGGCAAAGATCCACAAATGTTTCACTTAGCAACGGAAATGTTGCCCCCCCATTGTGGTTGTAAGTCGAGGACTACCTGTATCCCGTATTTTGGTTCCCGCGAGCCCTCCGCCTCTCCTTCCCGTCCTGCTCCTGCAAAGCCCCTCTGATCCGCCCTCCGAGAAACCCCAACTGGGCCCTGGTGGGCAGGGGCTCCCCCTGGACAGAGCAGCCGGAGCAGAGGAGGACAGAAGGGCCGGCTTGGGAGGGTCTCCGGGAAACCTGCCGCCTGGGGCCTCATCCGCACCCCTTCCTGTTTGTCTCACATTCCGACGAAAGACGTTGCTCCAGGGGGGAAGGAAACGGTGCGCGGAAGGACCGGAGCAAGCAGAGGCCTGTCTCTTCCTGCCCAGCCCCCACCCCCACCTCGCCTCCCCACCATCAACCGGCCCAGAGAGCAGGGAAGGGGGGCTGGGGGTGGGAGGGGCTCCGCTCTAGTGGACCAGCGGGGAGCCCCCCCCTTCCTGGGCAAGGGAGAAGGGGCGCATACAGTGCTCAGCACAGACCTCAGAGGGGGGCAGAAGCCTGCTTGAGAAGCACCAAGTGGAGATGGATGGATGGAGATGGGAGGAACGAAGGAAGATAGAGGGGGAAAGGGATAAAAGAGGGAGGGAGGGAGGAAAGAGGAAAGGAGGGAAGGAAAGAGAAAAAAGCAAGGAAGCAAAGAAGGATGGATGGATGGATGGATGGATGGATGGATGGATGGATGGATGGATGGAAGGAAGGAAGGAAGGAAGGAAGGAAGGAAGGAAGGAAGGAAGGAAGGAAGGAGAAAGAGAAAGGAAAAGGAAAGGAAAGGAAAAGGAAGAAAGGATGAAAAGAAGGAAGCGGGGAGGGAGAGAGGGGTAGGAAGGCAAGCAGGAACGAAGGAAGAAAGAAGGGGAAAGAATAAAAGAGGGAGGAAGGAGAAAGAGAAAAAGAGGGAGAGAGGAAGGGAGGAAGGAAGGAAGAAGGAGGAGGAAGAAAGGAAAGGAAAAGAGGAAGTAAGGAAAGAAGGAAGGGAAGGAAGGATGGATGGAAAGGGGGAGGAGGAGAGGGGTAGGAAGGCAAGCAGGAACAAAGGAAGATGGAGGGGGGAAGAATAAAAGAGGGAGGGAGGAGAAAGAAAAAGAGGGAGAGAGGAAGGGAGGAAGGAAGGATGGATGGAAGGAAGGAAGAAAGGAGAAGGAGGAAGAAAGGAAAGGAAAAGAGGAAGGAAGGAAGGATGGAAAGAAGGAAGCAGGGAGGGAGAGAGGGGTAGGAAGGCAAGCAGGAACAAAGGAAGATAGAAGGGGAAAGAATAAAAGAGGGAGGAAGGAGAAAGAGAAAAAGAGGGAGAGAGGAAGGGAGGAAGGATGGAAGGAAGAAAGGAGAAGGAGGAAGAAACGAAAGGAAAAGAGGAAGGAAGGAAAGAAGGAAGGGAAGGGAAGGAAGGATGGATGGAAGGATGGAAAGGGGGAGGGGGAGAGGGGCAGGAAGGAAAGCAGGAGGGAAAATGGGAAGGGGGGATGGAGGAAAATGGAAAGGAAGGAAAAAGAAAATCAACTTACATTCAATCAGGGACCATTTCAAGTTAAAATCTCCCTGAATGGAGAGACTTGGAGCAACTGATCCTCTAATTTACAACCCCAGAGATTCCCACAATTGCATGATCAAAATGCGGAAGTTGACAACTAACACGTAGTTACGACGGTCGAAGCAGGGTGACCGGATGGCTGTTTGCGGCCTTCCCAGGGGGGGCCATCGGCAAGCGAAATGAATGGGAGGGGGGGAGCCAGATCCCTTTAACGACTGCGATGATTCGCTTAGCGACCCCGGTGGAACAGTCGTAAGACTGGAACCCATTCGCTTCACGTGCGCCCTGCTTAACAACCGAAATCGTGGTCCCGATTGTCGAGTGTTAACTCAAGTGTGCCAATGTCACGAAACCTTGGTAGGGTGAAATTAGATTAGGGGCATTATGGATGATTCTGGGTGCCCCCCCCTCCCCTCCCCTCCAAGGTGGGCACGCTGGATCTGGAAAATATGCCGGAACAAAACAGCAGTAACAGAATAATAGAATAATAGAGCTGGAAGGAAGGAAGGAAGGAAGGAAGGAAGGAAGGAAGGAAGGAAGGAAGAAAGGAAGGAAGGAAGGAAGGAAGGAATTCTAGTCCAAACCCCTGCTCAAGCAGGAAACCTTCTATCATTTCAGACAAATNAAGGGACCTTGGAGGTCATCTAGTCCAACCCCCTGCTCAAGCAGGAGACCTTATATACCAATCAGACAAGTGGCTGTCCAGTCTCTTCTTCAAAGCCTCCAGTGATGAAACACCCACAACTTCTGGTGGCAAGCGGTTCCACTGGTTCATTGTTCTCACTGTCAGGAAATTCCTGCTTAGTTCCAAGTTGCTTCTCTCCTGGGTTAGTTTCCATCCATTGCTGCTTCTCCTCCTGCCTTCGGGGGTGGGTGGGTGAGGGGGCTCTTTGGAGAATAGATTGACCCACCCCTCCTCTTTCTGGGCAGCCCCCACCCACCCCACCCCAATCCCCCAGGTCAATTTACATCACCAGGCACCAGGGAGGAATGTTTACAACAGTGAGCATAACATCATTTACTTCTTATTCAAATCGATTTACATGGCCTGGAGGAAGTGCAGCTAATTTTACATTGCATCCGAGTACATAATCAAGATTTGTTTTGCTTTGTGAGCAGAGATGGAAGAGGCCTCTTAAAAACTCTTTATTTCCTAAACATAAGCAAAGAAATTCAATATATTATGCTTCGTATAACTACCGCAGCCAGAATCTCATTTGCCCGAAACTGGAACCCCAAAAGCCATTCCTTCAAATGCAGAGATCATAAAAACAGGTGCTGCAATGCGCGGAAACGGATATACGAACGATGGAATTAAGAGATCGAGAGGAAAACAAGAGTATTTATAAGAGATGGAAAAGGTGGAATAACTGGCTTGAAAAGAGATGTAAAATCAATGCATAATGAGTGTGTAGAAAACATAACGAAAGGAGTATATAGATATATATTCAGGAATCAATAAGAGATGTAAAGGTTGTATATATTTGTATATATTCTGAAAAGAATAATCATGAAACAAGGAGGGATATGTATGAAACAATAGTCCGTAGAATGGAAAAGTAGAAATTAGAAAAAAAGAATAAATAAAGAGAGTGGAAAGGTGTAAAAGTGAAAAATTGTGATTTTAATGTTTAAAAATGCTGAATAAAAATGACATTAAAAAAAAAACTAACTCTATTTCCTCTGATATTCAAAGAGTTTCCCCTATCTAGACTTCATTTCTCTGATGTTTGGCCCATTAAGTTAAATCACAAGATATTTTATATTTAATTCTACACTGTTTTGACAGCAGCGAGAATCGTATTTTGCACAACGCTGGAAAAATGTGGGACATGTACTAAAAAAAAAATTAGGTTTTGCGGAAATGGATAGGTTGACGCTGAAGATAAAGGATACAGGAGACACGGAATATATATTTTTTTAATTTGGGATTTTGTTTTTACCAATGGTTAGATAATAAAGGTAGCAATTAGAAGCTGGAAGAATACTATTATACACAAGTAAAGAATATTATTATTATTACTACTATTATTATGTATATGTAAAATGACCCAGACAACACGCTGTTTGTTAAATAGTTCTGTATGTTAAAGAAAAATGTATAAATATTCTTTTTTTAAAAAGATACTTAGGATGAATCAAAGGAAATGCTTCTGCAGATGGCTTTCCTAGAGCAACTTTGGGGATGCCAAGGCTGGCAGAAATCAGGAAGGCCCATCAGCCACATCTGATACATAAACAGAAAGAAACCCCCTGCTTCCTCCTAAAACTGATGCTGTTCCCTAGCCCGGTCATAAAACGTCTGGAAAAAAAATACAAGCTCAGAGGGCACCATGGACCCCTTCCTCCTCCTCCTCCTCTTCTCCTGTTCTTCCTCCTCCGTCTTCTTGTCCTCCTCCCTTCCTCCTTTTTCACCTCCTCTTCCTCTCCTCTTTCCCCCTCCTCCTCCCCTTCCTCCTCACTTCTCCCTTCTTCATCTCTTCCTCCTTCTCTCCTCCTCTCTTCCTCTATGTTCTCCCTCCTCTTCTCTCCCTCTTCTTCTCCCTCCTCCTCCATCGCTTCTCTTCCTCCTTTTCCTCTTCCTCCCCTCCTCCTCCTCTCTGCCCCTTCTCCTCCTCTTCTTCCTCCTTCCTCCTTCTCCTCTCCTCCTCTCCTCTCTGCCCGTTCTCCTCTTCCTCCCGCTCTCCACTTCCTCCTTTTCTTCCTCCTTCTCCTCCTCTTCCTCCTCCCTCTCCACTTCCTCCTTCTCCTCCTCCTCTCCTCCTCCTCTCCTCCTCTCTGCCCCTTCTCCTCTTCCTCCTCCCTCTCCACTTCCTCCTTTTCTTCCTCGTCTTCCTCCTTCTCCTCTTCCCTCTCTTCCTCCTCTCCTCCTTTCTGCCCCTTCTCCTCTTCCTCCTCCCTCTCCACTTCCTCCTTTTCTTCCTCCTCCTTTCCCTCCCCTCTTCCCCCTCCCCACTCCTCCATCGCCTCCCTCTCCCCTCCTCTTCCTCCCCCCCCCACCTTCTACCACTGACACACCTTAGTTGGGTAATGAAACACGTGTAGAAAACCACCCAGCTCAGAGAGCACCAAGGACCCCACAGTCCTCTTCCTCCTCCCTTCTCTTCCTCCTCTTCCTCCCTCCAATCTCCACTTCCTCCCAGCACTGATGATGTTCCCTAGTTGGGTCATGAAATGTCCCAAGCTCAGAGAGCCCCAAGGGCCCCACAGTTTGACCCTGAGCTGCAAAATATTCTCTCCAATCGGTTATTGACCTATTTTTACAGTTGCCACCATAACATGATGGAACATGATGTTCTCCCCCCCACCCCCCCTCAGGCTGCCGGGTGACCAGACCAATGAGGTCACCACAAGATATTTACACACCGTCCGGGAAGAATTAGAAGCCTCCGTGTGCTTAAGTTAACCCGAAAAGTTAAGAGAGCCTGGGCTTTTTAAACCAACCTTGCTGAACGTGTGCAAATCACACACTTTTGCACGCACTCCAGTGCAAACTCACTCAGCTGCAGGAATGCAGAACATTCGTCAGCGGCACTAATGATGCGTCCATGCATCCGTTAGCCACAGTTTCGCGTGTTGTACAAAGAGCATTGTGTGGTCTCTGCCATTCTCCAGGTTGAATCACACACACACACACACACACACACACACACACACACAGACGAAAGTGTGTGTGTGGGGGGGGAGAATGTGTGTATCATTAGAGCAGACTTCGGCCACTTTAAGACTTGTGGACTTCAACTCCCAGAAGTCCACAGCTGGCTGGAGAATTCTGGGAGTTGAAGTCCTCCAGGCTTAAAGTGGCCAAGGATGGAGACCCCCTCCTCTGGAGGAAGACTCAAACCCTGCGCAGAGCCCCTCCTGGGGCTGACATCCTGCCAGCGGGACAGGATGCAACTCCGCGTCCCGCCTATCTTCCGTGTGCAAGGGGCAGGAAGCACAAAGCCCATGATTCCCTGGCGCCTGGCCTCGGAGTTAAGTTTGACTAATTGACTGACTAATCAACACACACACACAAACACACACACACTGTGTCCATGGGTGTGCCTGTGCACGCCCATCCACACCGGAGAAAGGGGGAAGAGGCGCCTTCCAGGAATCCTAGCGTGCAAGTAACTTCTAGTCCCGCCTTAGGCACGAAAGCCGGCTGGGTGACTTTGGACAAATCACTAGGAGACAGAGAGTTCTAGTCCCACCGTAGGCATGAAAGCTGGCTGGGTGGCTTGGGGTCAATTGCCAGGGAATGGGGAGTTCTAGTCCTGCCTTAAGGACAAAAGGCAACTGGAGTCTTGGGGCCCATCACCAGGAGACAGGGAGTTCTAGTCCTGCCTTAGACTTGAAAGGCAGCTTGGTGCCTTTGGATCAATCACGCTTTAAGCCTTGACAACTTCAACTCCCAGAATTCCCCAGCCGGCAAAGCTTTAAGAATGGAGGACTTCAACTCCCAGAATTCCCCAGCCGGCAAAGCTTTAAGAATGGTGGACTTCAACTCCCAGAATTCCCCAGCCGGCAAAGCCTTAAGAATGGTGGACTTCAACTCCCAGAATTCCCCAGCCGGCAAAGCCTTAAGAATGGTGGACTTCAACTCCCAGAATTCCCCAGCCAGCTGAGGCTTAAGAATGGTGGACTTCAACTCCC